AGTGCATGTGCAGTGCACGCCTCGCGTGGGATTTGCCTGTTTCGCCGTCCTGGACACGCCTGTCGCCGCCTGACCTTTGTCGCGCGGCCGCCGACCAAAAAAATATCCCCACCAGTTCCCGTGTGCGTTGCACCACGGCTCACGACTGCTTAGCCTGTCTGGCTAGCGCAGGTCGTCCGCTTGGAGCTTGGCGCCACATTGGCGACTAACTCCAATGGCCAGCACGTCTTCACCATGCACGAAGGACTTGCCCATCGTGGTCCGCGTCCCCTCTGTGCGGGTTGTGCCTTGGCCGCTTGAATTCCGTGACATTTTGTCCAGTGCACGTGCCCGAGCTTGCAGTGCGCCGATCAGTTCAGCTTCACCCATCAGCCCGCAGCTGCCGTCTGAGGGGGCCGGCCGGCCTGCGCCTGTCGTAGCTAACTCGCCTAGCTCGCGTCCCGGACTTTGCTTTCGCCGCCTGACCGTCGTCTCGCGGCCGCGACCGACAAGTACCCCCACCAGTTCAGCTCCCATGACACGCGCACGTTGCAGCATCCTAGGCGCAGCTCAGTCCCGGCGCGGCTGCTTCCTTCGGCGGTAGGTTCTGCCGGTTCGGCTCGCGCGCCGGCAATTAGGTTATTCGTGGCCCGAGTTTTACTCTGCTGACGCTGTCGGACCCGTCGACCTGCAGCTGCGACAAAAATCCCCACCAGCGCGGTTGCAGCCTCTACCTTCGGCGCAGCCCAGCTCCCCTGGCGGTAGGTTTAGTTGCTGCCTGCCTGCGCGCGCTAGGGAAGTATTTCTGCTCGTAGCCCGAGCCGACCTGTGACGCCGCCGGCGCCTTCGCCTGCGGCTGCGGCAAAAAGTCCCCATCAGCCCGTTCGGAAACACTTCCCATGAGAGACGACGGGAAAAGGGGCGAAAAGGCACATATAGTGAAACAGAGCGGGCAGCCTGGATGAGCAGAGAGATCTCTGGGAGCACGGAGGGGCCTTGGAGGGCCTCTTCGGGTCATCCCTGGGGCCCGCGGGAGGGCGAGGGGATGAGTAGGAGGAGGAGGCAAACCGCATCTTTAGGCCCTCGTGGAACGCTGTTGGTGCGCTCTTGGGCGGTCTTGGAACCGTATTGGGGCCGTCTTGGGTCCCTCTTGGGGCCCTGTTGGGCCCTTCTTGGGGCTCTCCTGGGAGCCCCGGAGGGCCATCCTGGAGGGCGTCGGTCAAAGGAGGGGATGTCCTAAATGGGCCTCCCCCTTCTGGGGCCATCAGAATCGCCTCTTGGGGCCCCCTTGGGGCGCTCTTGGGCGCTCTTGGGGCCGTGTGGAGGGGCCTCTTGGGCCCCTCCTGAGGCCCTCTTGGGGACATCTTGAGGCCATCTTGAGATATTTAAAAAAGCACAGCGGAAGCGAAAAGCGAGAGAAGGCACCAAGCATGTATCATAAGGGCTAGAAGGATGTTGGCGTCTTGGGGGGGTCCGGAGGGGCCTCCGAGAGCACTGGGAACCGTCTTGTGGCCATCGTCGGGCCTCTTGGAGGTATGTCGGAAGCTACCTGGAGCCATCTTCAGTTAATTTTGAGCCTCCTTGGAGGCCATCTTGCAGCATCGGAGGCCCTCTCGGAGCCATCTTGGGGCCATTTGGGGCACCTTGACCTCTCGCGAACCCCCCAAACAAACCTCGGAGAGAGAAGGTAGAGGGCATCCCTCCTTGAAGGGAAGACGGCTTTGGAAGAGGAGAGAAAAACATCGTTTGACCACCTACGCACAGAGGGCTGGTGGGATTCGAGTCCGCACAACTCGAGTATCACGTCTCCCCAATGGGAAGGATGTTACGGAGCGCCACACTCGCACTTGTAACGTTCGTGCTATCTGCCGAAGGCAAAAGCAGTGGGCGCCTCCTTGCGCTTCGTAAGAAGACAGGCTGACAAGAAGGCCAGCAAGAGAAAGGAGAGGGGGACAAAGGAAAGAGGTGGAGAAGCGGGGAGCGGGGAGCGACAGCGGACAGCCGAGGGGGAGACGGACGGAAGCGTGGGACACTGGCCGACCGACGGGGGAGGGGAAGCCGAGGGGAAGGAAGGAGGCACCACACACATCAGGGAACGGCAAGTCACGAAGAGGGATAGGAGCCGGCCGAGGAGGGCGGCGAGAGGGAAGAAGGCGGCACGACACACAGGCGGGGGGCCTGTCTGGTGGGCAGCGCGAGGGGAGGCCGTGCCGTGGGAGGGGGGAAAGGGCGGGGTGGAGGAGGGGACGACGGCGACGGGGGAAGGAGAGGAGCGAGGAGGACGGGAGGGAAGAGGTCAGGCTCACAGCAGACGCTGCGGGATGTGCGGGCTGCGCCCCGCCCGGGGAAAGGGATGCGGACCAGCCCCCGCCAGGGACATGGCCGTGGGATGCGCGGATGACCCCCACACATGGAGAGCGAGCGGATTGCCCCCTGTTGAAGGGAAAGAGGGACGTGCGGGCAACCCCCTGCACGGGGAGCGGAGCACCCCTCGCCAGGGGAGAATGGGTGAGGGATGCGGAGCCCGGTGCGGAGTACCCCCCCGCACGGGGAGAGCGATGCAGAGAGCAGCCCGGAGCTGGCTGTGGGAAGCGGGGATCCAGGGCAGGTCGCCCCCCGCCCGGGGAAGTGTTGCGGATTGCCCCCCGCGAAGGGGACAGGGAAAAATGCGCCCGCAGCATCTGACATCTGGGGGAGGGGGAACGGCGGGGAGAGAAGGGGACGACGACGACGACAGGAAAAGAAGACGAGAAGGGGAGGAGGGCTGACATGCACACTGTAAACGTACACGGCGTGCACGCCATACGAAGCAGCAGGCAAATCGAGAACACCGCACAAGCCGACCTGCAACAGGCAAACTCTTGCAATGAACCGAGGCCTGAGCAACTCTCAACGCAGGAGGGTAGAACGCACACAACATCTGACCGCCTGCGGCGCGAAGCAGGACGGAGAGAGCATCGCCTGCCCGCACCCCAAGAGGAGAGGGGAGCGGCGGGAGGAGGACAAGGAGAAGAACGAGGAGGGGAGCCAAGAGTGTGCACAGTACATCTGACCAGCTGTGGCACGAAGCAAGGCGGAGTGAACAATCGAGAAGTCGGATGCGTGCACGCTGTATTTCCCTTGCGCGCTCTTGACAGGAAGAGGCAACCGGTCCGAATGAACAGGACAGGCACGCACACACACACACACACACACTTTGGCGATCGCGGCCTCGCGCGCAGTGACGAGCGAGGTGGAGCAAGTCGAGCAGACGGCACAGTGCTAACCCGAGCGGCCAGGCCCTCAAGCGCGGGACCACATTGGATCGATTGCACGTGACTACCCGAGCAGGGTGGATAGTGAGAAAATTGAGGCAGCGTCCGAAGACGGAGACGGCGGCACCGACGAACGACACCGACCGGGTGCAGGGAGGGCGCTTGGATTGAAACCCGACGAGCCGGGCTGCCAGGCGAGCTGCCCACGGTGGGGGACGCGGAAGCGCTATGACAATCCAAAAGTGGAAACATTCGGTGGGGGGAGCGGCAGAATCGCGAAGTTGCGGGAAAGTGGGCAAGTAGCCACTCTTGGCTAGCGCTTGGAGCGAGGGGAGGGCGGCTCTTACACGCACACACACACACACACACACACACGCACACACACACACACGCGCGCACCCGCGCACACACGCACACACACACACACACGCACACACACGCACACACAAACACACACCACACACACACACACACACACACACACACACACACACACACACACACACACACACCACACACACGCACACACGCACACGCACACGCACACACACACACACGCACACACACGCACGGCGCACGGTACACGCACACGCACACACACACACGCACACACACACACGCACACGCACACACACACACACGCACACGCACACGCACACGCACACGCACACGCACACGCACACGCACACGCACACGCACACGCACACGCACACGCACACGCACACGCACACGCACGCGCACGCACGCACGCACATAAACACACACACACACACACGCCAAGCGGCGTGTGCTGTGATGTGATGTGCGGTGTTGTGCTATCGTGTGCCGTGATGTGCTGTGTCGTGCTGCGATGTGCTGCCACACGCACGCACACACGCGGCCGTGCTGTGCTGTGCTGCGCTGTGATGTGTAGCGGTGTGGCATCCGTAGCCTCCGGCTCCGTGCTGGGAGCGCCGGCCCCGGCCCCCGATTAGTCGTTTTCGTCGTCCTCTCCCTCCCCTCCCCCTCCCCTTTCCTCCGCCTCCTGCCTGGCCTTCTGCCTCCTCGCCCCGTTCGTCCGCTTCTCCTCTCTGCCCCTGCTTCCTGCCCTCATCGTGGCCCCATCTTGCCATCCTCCCTTTTTACACACGCACGCGTGTGGCTCAAACACGCTCTCTCTCTGTCTGTCTCTCTCTCCTTCTCTCTCTCTCTCTCACCCACCCGCGTTCCCACATGCTAACGTGAGCCTCATGCGGAGTCGCGCGGTGCAGGTGCGCCCCATCACGCCACCCGGAACCGACTGACACCCACCCTCGCCGAGACAGCGCGCACACAGCACGAGTTGCATGCCGCGCTGGGCTTGCAGCGCCATGGTTGTCTTGCGGTCTTACGTCGCGTGTGTTTGTGCAAAGGCTGGGCCCACCAGTGCGGGGATGGGGCTGGTCCTGGCGGTTGGGTGCTGCGGACCGTGCCACACCCACGTACCCCCCTCACCCACCGCCGCCTGCATTGTTTGCCTTGGCGCGCGGTTTGGGCTGAGAAGGTGAGGAGATACGGCGTCCCGCATTAGGCGGGAGAATGAACGAATGAACACACACACACACACGGGCCGGCCAAGCTGCGGCCTCTAAAGGTAATGGGGGGCCCACGCGCACATGGACACAACGGCCACGACGACTTCGGCGGCGGTCGGTGGCGACGTCGTCGGCGGCGTAGGTGACGGCGGCGAATCCAGCGGCGGCGATGGCAACGGTCGCAGCGGGAGCGCCCCCCCGCTGGGGGCCGCAGGCACTCACGGAGGTGAGGGAGGTGCCCGCCTTCCTCCGCGACTGAGCGGGCGCTGGCGGCGGCCGCGCGCGCGCGGCGGGGGCTAGCGACGGGGCGTACCGACGACTGACGATGACGAAGGCGACGGCGGCGGCGACGACGACGAGGGCGACGAGGGCGAGGACCAGGACTGAGGGAGGGGAGCAGGGGGCGGAAACGGAGGAGGAGGAGGAGGAGGAGGAGCAGGAGCAGGAGCAGGAGCAGGAGCAGGAGCAGGAGCAGGAGGAGTCCAAGTGGGCGTTGTCTCGGGCCCCGCCGTTTCACGTTTTGCTGTGTGCTTGGTCGCCGTCATGCTACCTCGCGATGGTTGTCGGCCCCCTGCACAAGTTGCCCATCACCGTCGCCAAGAGCTCGCTGACCGCGTTTCCCTCTGGGCGTCGAGCTAGCGACCCTTTTTCTTCCACGCCATATCCGCTGACAACTGTTTCTCTTGGCTCGACTGGTGCGTGAACCACGTCTCTGGCATCCTCCGGCACGAGAAATTCGCGCCCGCATTCGTCAATTGGCGCTCCAGCCTTCCTGCCGCCATGAGGCAGGCTGCTGAGGAACGATGCCTCGCTGGGTGGCGCAGTTCGGCTATTTCGGGCGAGCGCCTGCGCTGGCGCCACATGCAAATGCTGAAATGGAGGCCCGACCCGTCTCGCATGGGCTTCGACACTCGGGTTTGATGTCTTCAATGGGCAGCTGGCGAGGGCGCCCGGCCGCGGAGCGCGTCGCCACGTGCCCGGCCAGAGCCCAGTCCGCGGCGCGCACCGCACGGCGCCTCCTGGGAAGACCCGGACGTCGACCCGCTCGAACCCGACGTGCGCCCCATGCGTCGACCTTCCTCGGAGTCCGACGAGTGCTCGGCCAGTGCGAGTGGTCGGCTACGTGATGACGGCTACCCGTTCCCCACCGATGCTCATTTGGCGGACATGGGCGCCATCGACGACTCGCTGAACGACGACCTCGCCCCCCCGCCCCTGCATGACGACGAGTGCATATCGGGCCGCGAGTTCGGCGGCATCTTCGGACCCTGTAAGCGGCCCCCTCTGCCTCGGGAGGCCCAGGGGATGGCGTCGGCTGCGCGGCCCACTCCCTGCACTGCGACGTCGCAATCGCGGCTCGACAGACCCTGCGCCGCTTGGTGGCGATGCGGATGTGCTAGACTGGCTCGTGCAACCCCATGCGGCCCCTGCTGCGCCACAAACGCCTGATGAGGGTCATCCGCATGGTGCGTCGGGGAACACGTGGGCGAGAAAGAGGAGGATGAGGAGCGGGAGGAAAAAGGATGAGGAGGAGGAAGAGGAGGAGGAGGGGCAGAAGGATGAGGAGATCTCTTGGGAGCCTCGTGCGTCATTCCTGGGGCCTCCTTGGAGTTTCCTGGGGGCCTCTTGGAGGCCTCTCAGGGGCCTCCTTGCGCCTCTCGGGTGCCTTGGGAGCTTTCTTGGGGGCCTCTTTGGGCGTCTTGCGGCGTTTCTGGCTCGTCTGACGCCGTCGGAAGCCATCTTGGGAACCTCTTCGGGCCGTCCTGGGGCCATCTCGGGACGCTGAAGAGCAGTCTTGGAGGTCATCTTGGGCGTCTCGGAGGCCTGCCGTCTTGGGACCCTTTTGGGCAGTCCTGCGGCCATCTTGGAGGCCTCTTGGGCGATTTGGATGGAGTATTGGGAGCCTCTTGGGGTCGTCTTGGACCGTCGGAAGGCCGTTTTGAAACAAATGCGAAAATCCGTCAACAATCAAAGGGAAATCTATGAATGTGGCTTCTTCGGGTCCGTCCTCGAGGACCGCTTGGAGGCCTTTTGGGCCGTCTTGGTGGCCTCTAGGGGGCCGCTTGGGCCGTCTTAGGCTATCTTGGACCGTCTTGTGTGCATCTTGGGCCGTCTCTTGGGTGCATCTTGGAGCCATCTAGGGCTCTCTTGGAGTCATCTTGGCCGTTTGGGAGGCGTCTTGGAGGCATCTTGGAGGCCATGTTGGCTCACCCAGTGTCCGAAGGGCGATGTGGGCAATGAGAGGGGGATTTGGGAACCTTCCGGGTGGCCAGTGCAAAGAGCCGAAGCCCCAGGGGAGTTTTTTAAATAACGAAAACCCATTTGACGTTTAGCACGCCCGGCACCCTTGTGATCAATCAACCGGGGGCGGCGGATCCAGTGGCTTTCGACCCATCCCGCCCCGTGCCTGGGTTGTCGGTCAAAGGCCCCCGGGATGCCTGTAAGGATCTATTGGGAGACCTCTTGGATGCCTTGGGTTGTGGGCCCCGTGAAGACTACCTACAGTACTGAATGCGGAGAGCTCGCAGGGACCTCAGGACACCCCAACCCGTGCCTCAGGGAACGGCGACGGATCTCCCGTGCACGGCCCCTCCCCCCCGCCCTCGAGGTGGAGCGCGCCTGGCGCCTCGCCGACGGCGTCGCCGCCCGCGCCGAGCAGCTGCGGGAGTCGCTATCGGACGCCGCGGCGCAGGCACGCGGCGGCACGGCCCCCCGGCCCTCCGACGGCGGCGGCGACGTCGACGGCAGCGGCGACGGGCGGCGACCGGCGGCGGCGACCGGCGGCGGCGGCGGCAGCGGCGACGGCCGAGGACGCCGCCGTCGGAGGCTTCCAGAGAGGCTCGGGAGGTCTGGAGGGCAGGCGGCTTCGTCGCTTCACATCGCGGGGGCTGCGCCGCACAACGGAGGTCACGCCAGGGGGGCTACGTTGCATTGCGCTTCGTCACAACCTCTGGGGGTCAACCCCGCCTCCTCGGCGCACCGCTTCGGGGGTCGGTTCTGGGGTATCGGTGAGGGCGGGGCTCTCTCAGCGTCGTATCGGGCGCCACCCTGGGAGGCCTTGAGGATGAGCCTTGGAGGCATGGCGCCTTTGCACCCCTCGGTTGGGGGCATCCTCTGCGCGTGTTCTGCCTCATCGCTTCAAGTGCTCCGTGGCATCGTGGCGCGTTCTGTCTGGGGCGTGCTGCGCCCTGGCGGTCCATCCGGATGACAGGCTTTGGCTGCGCCTCACGCCCGATCGGCACGAGGCCGTGCGTCGCCGCGGGCACCGAGAGCGAGGGGGCCTCGGAGGGTCTCACGGGCGGACGGCGACTCGCGGGCCACGTCGGTCGTGCGCGGCGGCGGCGCTCGGAGCGAGCCTGGAGCGTCGGGCCGCGGAGCCGCCGGCGAGGGCAGGCGAGAGCGGCAGGGCCGCGCCCGGCCAGGGACGCGGTCCTGCGAGGCTCCCATTGGGGCTCGGGGGAAGGGCAGCGGCCTGGTGTGCGGTGGGCTCACGCCGCGCTGACGCGGCGGTGACCCCAGACATCTGGCGTCTCGAAGGAAACGAGACGTAGCTTTCGTCATGGTTTTCGGCCTCTCGGGGGGGCCGTCAAAAAATCGAGGCCAGGTTTTTCGTCGCTTTCTTGTTCTCGGGGCCCTTACTGAGCCTCGGGGCAGACCAAACACGACTCCGGATGACAAACTGGTCCTGGGTAAGCGGTCGAGGCGTCCGGGGGGCGTCTCTCGAAAAAATCGAGGCGCCGGATGTTTGGGACCCCAGGGCGGGCGTTCTCGGGCGGGGCCAGGACCGAGGCAGATAGATCGCTCCAGAGCGTCCCAGAACGCGTTCCAGAACGCCTTCAGAGCGTTCCAGAGCGCTAGGGAACGGCCGCGGCGCCCGAGACGTCTTCGAGAGTCGCCGGATCTCAAAGAACGGTCCGATCTGGTCCCCGTCTTGCCTTCGGCGTAGGCTCAGGGTCGAACGCCCCCACGGAGGCCCGGAGCCGGCCAGTTGGCACCACACGAGCTGCGCGGCCCGAGGGCCTCGGCGGGGCGGCCCCTAAGGAGGCCCCCCAGACGCCAGGCGGGGAGCAGCGGCCTCCTGCGCGGTGGGCTCAAGGCCGCGCTGGCGCGGCGGCGGCCCTCGGGGGAAGCGCTGGGGGGGGGCGGGTGCGGGCTCTGCAGGGGGCGACGCATCGACCCCCAGTCGTCCACGGATCGCCGAGAGGCATCCCCAGGGATCGGCCCGGATCGAGCAGAGAGGCCCGAGGCCCCTCCGGAGTGAAGGGGCTTCGGGCCTTTCTGCTCTCAGAGCCTCCCTGCAGAGCCCACACCGTGGACCCGTCCGAGACCGGCCGAGGGCGCTTTTTTGACGTATTGCCCTCTGCGTCCCAACGCCCGTCGCACGGCAGGGTCGCGCCGCCTTGGCGTGGCGGCGACATTGGCGCGGGCGCTCAAGGTTGAGCAGTGGTTCAGATGCGGCCGATTCTCGAGAACCTTCTGCGCTAGTGGAAGGCCCAGACGTGCAATGTCGAACGGGCCACGCGAAGTCAGCGAACCAGGGCCAGGGCCAACGCGGCGCGAACTTGCCGCACCGGGAGGCACAACAAACAATTCGCTGGTCTGCCAACGGGGGCCCCACCAGAGTTTCTTATCTCGCGATGGGTCCGCAGAGCCCTGAGGCACCTGACGAAGCGCAGGGTCGAAGCAACATGTGGCCTCACAATGTCTCGCATCGGGATCTCTCATCGCATGTCCAGGAGCGCCTCCTGCCCAGACCTCCGACGATCTGACTATTTTCGAATCCGCGCTCCCAGGCCCCTGGACACCCACCCCCCGCGGCCAGCTGTTCTTCCTGGATCCAGCTTTGATGGCCCGTGCGCCCGAGAACGGCCCCCCAGGAGGGCCGAGATCGAGGAACAACCCGGGAGTGTAAAAGTCGTACCGTCGGAGCTCAGGGAGTCCGCGGCGACCCGTCCTCCGCCCCTTGCCCCTGCCCCCTTCTGCAGCGAACAGTATGTGTTTGTATGTTTTGTCCTTCAGCACGGGGTCCCCAGAAGTCCCGACATCCCGAGTCGTTTTTGACGGCCCCGGGGCCCGGCGAGGACCTCCAGAGCCCGAAAACGTACAGAAATGCCCGTCATGATTCGTGTAGGTCGCGCGCATGTTTGGGTATCTATTCCTCCCAGATGGGGTCGAAGTATATGTGGTCAGAGGATCGCGCCGCATAGCCGATGCATCGGCGATGCGGCTCGATGAGGAGCACGACTTTCTCCACACCGACGTCGCCGATGCATCGGTGATGTATCGACGATGCGGCGAGATCCTCCGACCCCGTCTACTCCGACCCCATCCCCAGACGCCAGGCGTCTCGAGATTTTCGAGACA